CTCATCCTTTCTTATTATTAATTCTGTTGTCAGCAGATACACACAAAGCCCACAGGCGAAGTGTCTCTTTCCTTCCCTCACACCAGTCCACAGCAATAGCAGATTGCCATACTCTATCAGTTAATTCATCAGCTTTTGTGGCAGATGTCATCTGTGTGGTGGATCTAAAGGTTTCAGCCCAGCAGATGACTCAGATTTCAGCACGCTGGGGCTTCATTTCAGCTGTATGCTTTGAATCAATGAAAACTTTCACCCAGAATAGTATTAAAAGTATGTAAAGGCTGCAACATCAGGCACTCCAAAGTCAGGAGTGGAAACAGAAAAGTTGCCTATGCAGAAATAATTTAAGACTTTGATATATGTGTGCATGACAAAGGAGATGATAATTAATGAGCACACCCCAAGTGGGTGGTTTTTTGTTGTTTTTCATCAGGTCTCCAGCTCACTCAGGGCACAAGGTGAACAGTGTCTAACATAGTAATCATTTGCATGTAGGACTCCAGCTTCAGTGACAACAGGAGGCGGAAAACAGGCAGAAGAGAAGAAAGATGGATGCAAGAAGACAAAGTACAGTGTTGCAATGAGAGTGCCTGGGAGCACTGCATCCCATCTCTGCATTTTCATTTGGGGGGGGCAAATCACTTGAAACAGATTCTTCCCAAGCAGTCCGTTGCTGCCTATTCCTTGTCTTCTAGGTCCTAAGAACTCCAAATGACAGAAATAGTCTATTCCAATCTTCCTTGGGGAAGGAAGGAGTAGAAACGAGACAGTGAACTTATCAAGCCTTGGTGAATGACATGAAAGAAATCTGATCCCAAGCATCTTAAATTATCTATCTCAAATGAGTAGGTACTTCTGATCATAACTGTCTTTGCCTCTGTTTCCTATCCATACAAGGATAATGTATTTGTCTCTCACAGGGGTCCCCCAAAAATAATTAACGCTTCTGAAATGCTCCCAGGGTATAGCAACGAGCAAAACAAAAAAGCCCACGAGGAGATTAACAATTCCATCCTCAGAGCAGGACCTGAATAGCGCACAGTAAATACAGGACAGGGCTGCACAATGAACACTAAAGCTAAAACAAAACGCTGAATAGCTGCTTATTATGTGAAAGTTTTCCATTTGGAGAACTCAGTGAGGCAGGGGTCTAGCTGAGAGAATAACACGAGCCCCTATGATTAAAGACCATATCACAATGCACATACTCAAGGGGACTGAGCTGACACTGAACACGCTACCTAAGTTCATTCATTAAATCCGTTTTAAAGAGTGCATTTGCTTGTCAGGAAAAGTGCTGGATGGCCAGACGAAACCTGTCCAACAATCGAGCAGTTCTACTGCTCTCTCTGTCTCTGAGGCTTCATGTTATCCCAGAGATAACGACTGTTTGATCTCCACAGACCATCCATATCCTGAGCTTGCCAGTGCTGAGCACTTGATCCCCAGTCCAAAACATTTAAGCACCTGCTTAACTGTAAGCACACAAGGAACACTGCTGAACTCAGTCAGATTGTTCAGGTGTTTAAATCTAGCTGCGCATATATGCTTTACTAGATTCCTTACCTAGACATTTGTTCTCCAAACAGCTCTCTGCATGAAGTGTGTTATCATGCCCAAGCAGAACTTCCTGGCCCCACAGTTCAGCTGTTGGAACAGCTCATATGAACATCCTTTGATGTACTTCAGAAAAAAGTCAGCTGAGTTGGTTTAAACAATACGTTCATGCTCTGAGGTAATTCCGCTAACCTGCTCCAGCATGGACAGGGAACCATCTACATGAATCATCTGGTGGAGAGGTGTGAAGGCAGTGATGTCTGGCATATGGGCAGGGAAAGGTACTTAAGAACAGAAATATCTTCAGCCAACAACACATGATCTAGAAGAGCAAGTCTGTCACTTGAGTCTCATCTGCAAGACTGACACCACTAGAAACAGCCGAGAATATCCCCTCACTTCACATAGGCCAACACAATGACGGTGACATACCATCAGGGGTTGATTGTTTCAAAATCAGTGACATGGAGATCAAAAGCTGCCTATCATTCTCCCATTTCTTGACTCATCCACTCACTCCTAAAGATGATATGGTCATTATGAAATTTGAAACACTTTAAAAATAAAATAAGTGCACTTTGTAAAACCCAGAAGAACAGAGAACCACAGGTGCTTTGGTTTATATTTACACAGTAGCTACAGTAAACACTTAGTCTTGAACCACTCAGTGCTGGAATCACTGTAGCTATGGCATTGTGTGCGCCTCATACCCACTTCACTTATTTCTATGTCAGTGATCCTCCCCACCGCAGAATGAAATTTTTTCAAAGGAAACAGCTTATCTTCCATACTGCAGCAGCAGAAGAAAAATCCTCCTATACAGCAATATTTAATATGTGGTTTTATGCTCTTATGGCAGCTAATTTTCCTTAAATGATTTAAGGGAATGAATACATCTAAAAGGCCTGCACTGAGCCATTCTGCAAGAGCAACATGAAGCTGAACTTCCTCTGTTTTAAACAATCCAATCTCTTGTGGGCAGCTCCTCATGGCAGATCTTGTCTAGAATGGGAGGGATGAAGGTTATTTTTTTATTACATTATTTTGCAGGGAACCTTACTTTGCATTTTATTTCATTTCCTATTCCCCAGTGTGGGGAGACTTCAGGTGAGAAGAGGGTGACAGAACAGACATGTTCAAATGCATAATCCCTGATCTGTCGCAGTTTGACAACAGCCCCTCTGCAACTGGTTCACCTACGCATGCAGCCAACCATCTATCATGTGTTCCTCATCTAAAAGTTACACTCTGCACCTGGTCAGTACTAAAAGCCTGAAGTGATTCAAAGCAGGTTTTTATTTTGGCACTCTGTCAGGAGGGGAGGGGTGGGGTTTTTATCTCAAGTACTTAATAAAACCAGTCATTGCTAAAGCAGGATGGCACACGTACATCCCATGCCCTCTCTCTGAGGCAGCTGGCATGGTTTCCCCTTTTGTTCCAGATATGGTCTTTTCATACAAATATTACTTGGATCAGAGGGACTAAGAATCTGGTATGGCCTGAAAAAAACAATAATCCTTTATACCGCATTGTATTGCTGAGGGTCTGTAAAACTGTCAGAAAGGCTGGTATTGACTAGGGGATGATAAAACCAGACAAGAAGGTTTTTTGGTGAGCAGCTAATTCACTGAGAAATGAAACTCTGAAGAGCCACCTGAACTTTGCTGGTAGTTTAATCCAAAAAAAGATTCCTAAATAGTATTTTTAAAAAAAATTAAATAACCCTGAAAATGAAATGTTGCATTTGTGTTTGAAAGGCTCCTTTTTCTTTCTCTTGGAAGGAAATGGACTGGAACTGGTTCATCTCACGTTGATCAGTGGGGAGGGGTGGGAAACAGAGACATGGAGGAAAAAAAAGATTTCCATTTCAGACCAAGTCTGACCAAATATTTCTTTTGATTTTTCATTTTAGCCACCACAGCAAATAAATTCTTTCTTCACACATAGGGCACCTGGAAACTACCAGCTTTTCAAAGCTTCCCAGAAATGGGACAAAGCTGAAAAGAATTTTTTTCCCCCTAAGAATAGCTTTATTTTACTGACAGTGACTTTTAATAGTGCCAGAATTTGTTCCTTTACGAGCTAGAAGCATTCCCCTACACCCAACTTTCTTGTAATGTTTAAGGACCTCTTTATCCTTGAAAAAACAAAACTTTCTTCTTAAACAAAGCAGCCTGCACTCTCTCTCCATCATCTAGAAGGACAACTGTCTTGCTATTTGGGGTAGGAAACAGAGGAAAGACCAGGCTGGCTGTAAAGCTCCTTTCTTTACTTTCCATCATCATCACTCTAATACAGCAGGGCTTAGGAGTCTTGGTTACAGGCACAATGCTAGGTGCTGCACAAACAGAACAGAAAGACAAATTCTGTGCCAACAATTAATAGTCTAAGAAAATATTTTCCATGCAATTGGATTCCACTCCATATGTAAGGACCTTATCCATTAACCTATCTTCCTTGTACCTAAAACCCCTTCTGTACCAGTATTACTACTAGCTGGAAGATAAAAAGTCCAATTAAGATGCACTGGGAGAACCAGGAGTTAAATTAAAGGAGCTCTTATCCTACACATGATGTAGCCAGGGATAAGAAACCTCTTTCTTTATTAGCAAGGCAAACCAGGTCCTTTTTCACACTAACAGAAAGAAAAAAAAAAAAAAATTTGGCAAAACTTCAGGGAATTAAAGATCCAAATGCCCTCTCCATAATAGGAAGTAAAAAGAAAGGACGAATACTAGGAATTCCATACAGAAAATATAATCATCTATAAAATCTCCTCTTATTTTTTGGTAGTGATTTTTTCCTACCCATCTCCATCTTTGTTCAGCAGTTTTTCTTAGGTGCCATGTTCAATAATCCTTTTGCGCTTTGATGTCAAACATTCAATAGCTGTCTGCCTCCCTCCCACTCCTCTTCTCCATATTCTCTGCAATCCATCTCCTCTGATTAGCTAAGATTTCACCTTCAAGAACACCTCTGCTTCTCCGAGTGAGCATGAGTGTGTGCGTGTGTGTTTATATAATATTTGCAAATATTATCCCCCTCCTGCTCTGCACGCTACGTAGCAACCCCTGCAGGAGCTCTGGATTAAACATCAATGCCATTCAGTAATGCAATTTGGGGGGCCTGCTGTTTTGAATCCAGCTCAGGACATCATGAGAGCAGCTCAATTGAATTTAGACCCTGCTTTCAGAATTATTCCATATTTAATCTGAGCTGAACTTCATTTCACTTGCTCTCTCCACTCTGATGCTTCCTATGACAAAAGACACAAATGTTCCCTGATCTCATGCAGTGGGGTGGTGTTTGATTACTGCTCTCTTATTTTGGTTTGCCACTGGATTAAGCCACATCGGAGTTACTGGCATCTTGCATAACCCTGCAGAGGGAGAGAGTCAGTACCTTAGCAAGTGGCTGTTCTGGCATCACCTTTCCCCACTCACCGGATTGTTGTACATCTCAATGATGAGCTGTTTCACTCCGTGCAGTGTAGGATGAGCCCAAGGAGATGGATTTGCCCAGTGCCGGTTTAAATCAAACCCCATCAGGGAGCACCTGCACACACAAAAATACAACATACACAAAGGACATATATGAGCTGCAGCCTCGTCTGGCTTCAGCTGCAGAATTAGGGCTATATTCTGCAGCTTATGTATTTAAACAAGTTATTCTCATGGAAAAAACAAAAGCAAATGCTCCCCCAAGGACGAGGAAAGCCTGCAGCAATGACCACTTTTAGAAATAATGTGAACAGCAGAGTATCGACTGACACATCTTTGGTCATTCAGCCTTCTTCCCCTCCACAATACATATGCTCACTCTATCCTTTGCCTTTTGCCAGCTTGCCACGCTGGCGCTGGAAGAGCCTGCTTGGCCTTCAAGGTTCCCTTCTCTTCAATGCTCTAGCTGGGGGTCTATAGCTATGAGGATGATTCATAAACTGCATCACCAGGCATTTACTTGCCCTCAGTCAGGCCTTGACTCAGCAAAGCTGTTAAGAGCATTGAAATCAATGGCTATTAAGTATGTGCTTAAGGGATTTAAAGCATGAATGTAACTGTTCCACTAACCCAGGGCCTCAGTCTCTTCCCCTCCTGCAATTGCCTACACAAAAGTTACCCAGCAAAGACACTAAGTTAAAATGCTTATTGGCCATCAAATCTTGTGGGTATTGAAGCATGTATGCCACCTTGGCTTCTCCTTCCTGCCCTGACTCATACCCCTCTCAGTACATTGTCTTGAGTTTGATTCTGCTGCTCCCAGTCCCACAGAGTAATATCCCATTCTTTGTGAAGTCATATTGAAACTCAATGGGCTGTTGGCAGAGTGAACACAGAAGAAATTAAAAAGCTGGAAGTGGCACAAATAGGAGGGGGAAATCATGTGTCTTGCTTACTGCAGAGATCACCTAGACAATCTGTGGCCACTGATACAAGCAGGGAGAGAAGTCCCTTCTGTTGTCTCAAGCTGAGCTTGGGACCAATGGATCTTGGGTAGATCTTGCTCAGGAATTCTATGAAAGATCACACAAATAATAAAAGCCCAGGCAGAGATGCAACTTCCTCTATATTTAAAACAAAAAAAAAAAACAACCTCACTGCTAAGCGTTAAAGCTTCTTGAGAAGAGAAGAGCTTTCATTGATCCCTCGTCTATTATGAGAATGTCTGTTCAGCCTTAATCTTTTCAACACACCTATGCAAACAATAGAGATGTGCTCCAATAGTGCTATCCTTTGACAAAAATTCTAAGAATCTGATGACCAAAAAACATAAGTTTAATTGGCAAAAAGAAAGGAAAATGCCTCACTTCTCTAACAGCTGAAACAAATGATTGCACGTACCAAACCCAAATAAAAACTAAGACAGAGAGGTGAAATGCTAAGAAAAGTGAGGGGATGAAACCAGAAGATTAAATTCATTTCCAAAAATTATGAATTAATATTTTCCTATGAGCCAAAAAATACAAAGTTAACAGGACATTCTTCTGTAAAAATTCTTACGTGAAGCTAAGCAGGCAGGAGCTGCCTTGCTCCTTGGCCTTAAACAACCCAACCATCAGGCTGTCTGGGAGTTCAAACACCCACATGCCAGCTCTGCACCTCCATCACTGCTGACTTGGTGTACAGATGAGCCGGATGGCTCGCTGTGGTGGAGAAAGCTACTTCCTTGTCTTGGTGGTCACTTGTCTGCTTGTCTAGAGAACAGATGGATTTCTTCTCTGGACACTCCAACAGCTACAATTCCACAGACAACTCTGAAAGTTGTCTCCATCCCACTATAAAGCAAACCACATCATATAAGATTATTCTCTCTCTCTTTTTTTTTTTTTGTCTTCACGTAAACTCTCTCCACTCAGTTCTACTAAATCCTATCTTCTTTTGAACTCACAGACATTAATATAAAATCAGAAGTACTTCCAGAGACATAGGTGGAATTACACTGGGATAAAAGTGGTATAAGAGCAGAATCACAGGAATGAGTTTTTCATTTAACAGACACAGAAACGGTGGTGATCATCATTACTTTTACTGTATTTTGGCACAGTTCCCAAGAAAACAGCATGCTCACTCTACAGGATAACTTTCTTAGGAGATCAGAACTGGAAATTGTATCCCCTTGTATGGTTAATGTGTCCCATTTACATTTTGGTTTAAGAATATTTAAAACTAATAACACTACAGAAAACAAGCATATTTTGATTCCATTATGTTCATCTCCAAAGCACATTGAAGTGGCCAAGCTACAGAGCACCAAAAGCAAATTTTAAATTCAAACATGTATTGTCAATATTAAATTTGGGGTTTGGGACTTTTTAGATAAGTTTATATAAGTCATCCCTATAGGGAACAGAAGTAAGCAATATCTAATTTCTGTAAGATACTAAGGCATTGTGATTTGCAATATTTGAATTTGCCATGAATGTCTGGTTAGTGATGAATCTCATAGTTCATTTCAAGCAACAAGAACAGTTGAAAATAGTTGTCTTTACTTGAGAAGACTTTATAAACAGAAGGAATCAATGCTTGACAAACAAGTTAGTCATTTGGGAAGCTCCTCTGAGCTCTATTTAATAGGAACCCAAATTAATTTCCAAATATCATTTAGCTAGTCTTTGATGTGGTATATCACATCTTTATCAATGTAACAACAATTAATTAAATTTCTGATGTAGGCATTGCTATTTCTTTCCAGTCTGGGAACAGTGTAAAATTTTCTTTCCCCCCCCCGCCCCGTTTTTAAGTCTTTTTTCTTTCCTTTTTGCCTAAAGACAAATTTGTATCTACCACATTCTCTCTTTATTCATCTGTTGCAAACTTGTGGTCTCTCTAAGGAAACATCAAGTTGTGTTCCTTGGTACTACAGATTTGATTATTGACTCTATTACATGTAGAACTGTCTCCCAAAGCTCACGTATATCAGGACATGACCAAAACATACGGTAAGAGTCTCCCACATGCCTATTACAGATCCTGCATTCATTATATTCTCTTGCTCCCAGATGATGCAATCTCCCTTGTGACTAATACCTCCAGTGCAAGAACTTGAACAGGATAACTTAAAAATTGCATCTTGCACTGCTTTTTAATTCCCCCTACCATCTTAAACCAGCCCATTTCTAGTACATGCTCGCTACTTCCATTGCTTAACTGTTTACCTGCTGCTTCAAGCACTGGGTAGGCAAAGTAGAAATGTAGGTATTCTCTGGAAACAGCAGCTCTACAATAGAAAACAACTGTGTTCCAATATAATACAGGATCTTTTAATATTTAAGACCAGCTTTCTTACTCAGACTGCAAGTGTTGTCATTGGCTTCAGTATGGTTCCTCATGTGACTGTAAGTGTTCCCCAAATTTAGAAAGGGCCTCCAAATCTGTCTTATAGAGATTAAGTTTATTTTGTGCAGTAAATAAACTAATGTGTTCAGTACAAAATTAACAAGGGGAAAAAAGCCTAAATTATATCAAAGGACTGTTTAAGGATGATCTTTGAAAGGGGATATGGAAAAGACCAAAACAGGACACATTACATACTCCAAGAGGTGCAAGGGAAGACAAAAGCAGCTTCAAAATTAGTGAGGGCTGGAGCAGGTGAACGTTTCCAGATTAAGGGCACTGGAGAATACCCCATTCCATGAGGTTTAATGGCCATGCCCACGAATGATCTTATAAATGTGGCAGGTAATATTGACATGGAGCCAGATAAGAGTGACGTGTTGGCACAGACTCTCATAGGTTAGAAAAAAGTATTATCAGAAGTAGATGAGCTTTCTACAGCAAGAAAAGTAGCAAGCTGCTACTGTTACCTGATTGTGGTCTTCATTCATATTGTGAAATCCTGGATTGTGTGTCAAATAGTCATTGCCGCCACAAAAAATGACATGTATGTAATTTAAAATATTGAAGCCACTAACAATTGTTTGAATTTTGGGTTATGCTTCTTAGGGTTTGCTAGATATACAGACCACATACTATGTTTCTGCTTTGTGATTGAATGTACATTTAAATCAGGTTCTGTGATTATACTTGTTGAATTATAATTGGCATTTCACAAATGTTCTCCAGCCTTTTTCTAAAATTTCTGTTTTCTATAAGTAGATAAATTTATTACAGTGTTTATAAATTTACATAAACAGAGTGCAAATTCAGTCAAAGCAAATGAGTTTCAAAACTGAAATGGAAACTGAAACATTTTGCAGTATTCATCCCTCCCTACTTGGGAGACAGCCAGATCTCAAGAGGTTACCAGCTCAACTCAGTAAAACCAAAGACGTACAGACCAGCATTCAGCTTGCTGGGCAATTATCTGGACAGAACCTCCCTGCCTCTCGGGGCTTAACTCATCACTGGTTTTAAGGATTTCTTATGCAGCTGCTTTAATGAAAACATCCTTGTCCCTTTCTAGAACTGAGGAAGGTTTAGTACCAAGGCCTATGCTGGGTTTATTTTTAGGGCTGCTTCCTATTCTTTCAAGTTGTGCCTCTTCTTTCTGGAATCTCCAAGTTATAGAAACCTCCAGGAACTCTGTCTTCCTTTCACTTCAGTTCTCCCTCTCCTGTTCGTTTTTCCTACTATGTGAGTCTAAGTCTCTGACTAACAGACCCATTTCCACAAGGTGAGATACGGAGAATAATGGAGGAAAGGAGTTAAAGAAATCCTTTTTCATGGCATATGATTTATTACAAAGAGAACTCTACACTCTTCCCTTCAGCTTTGTAAGGTTGCGTTGGTTCATTGGATCAGTACCAGGTGAATCTCCAGATAATACTGCACACAAAGCCAGGGAGTTCAAATCCACAAATGGCACTACCAACAGGGTTAGGATTTGAAATTGAAAAGGTTGTGGGAGGAGGGGGTGCACTCACTTTTTTTTTCCTCAGGCTTATTGCAATAAGAGTGGAGACAGAGGGTAATTGGTCTCTATTGTTGCACTTCTTCGAAGCAAGAGTTATAGCAAGAAACTGCTGTGAGACTGCAGCCTGCAATATCATGCAGGAAGAGTAGGTGTGCAGTATGAGAGAGTGAATACAAGGGGAACACATGGAAGACTTGCTTCTT